TTATGGTTGGACTCGATGATCTTAAAGGTCTTTTCCAACCTTAATGATTCTATGATTCTATGACTAATGAAAATCCTGTTTACTCAAGTTCACAAATTCACATCAGGGAAAACATTTCAATTTGAAGTATATGGCATCAAAAGCAGCAAGCAAAGCATAAAAGTCATGAAAAGAAATTGCTCACTGCTCACAATAGCTAATATTTGTACCCTTTTTTTTGTAAATGCTGATTTATTTTAACATGTAAAATTAAAATTCTTAACTCACAGCCTTTGCACTTGAAGGTGTTCAAATTTGTTGTCTTCCCTTATGGTAACCAAAGTTTCAGCTTCAAATTTCAAACCATCTAGTGGCACATGGCCACCACTCCCCTTCAAGCAAAAGGAGGTGTTTGGCGTTGCAGTCTTAATGTTTTAACACCAGAAACACACGAACCCTTGAGCCCTACACCACACAGTCAGAACTCAGCAGAGCTCCAGCTTGGGCTTTGCATTGCCATCTCTATTTACTGAATGGCCAGAATGATTAAAAAATGAAAAGTTGCTCTTAAACTAGTATGGGCTTGAATAGAGATAAGGCTAGAGCAGCTGTTAGATTATCTAAGGCTGTTTATACAGGGTTCTCAGTAGGTATCTAATCCTTCGGGAAAAGTGTCATTCAGGCAATGCTAATTCAATCTGTGTATCGGATAGCTGAGGAACATCAGAAATAATGTGTTTTTTCTTTGAAATTAAAAATACCAAGCTTCAAGGGAATTTGTTCCTGGCATGCGATCTTATAAATCCCATTTACTTTTAGAGTGGAAGTATGCTATCACTACAGTTCGCAACCTTTTAAACACATTCGTCTTTTAAGTCTGATTTGTTACCTTAAGAATTTTACCATCTGACGTTCCCAGAAAGGCCACGGTATGCCCGTTCTCCACAGCCACAGTGACGGCCGTGAGATTCATCCCTTCTTTTTGTAGTACCGGCTTCTCTATAACACCATTCTTACTTCCCAAAAGGTACGGCAAGTGTTCGGAGCCACAGGGGAAATTTTTGCTTGCATTCTAATAAGGAATAGCAATACAGAGCGATGTTAAACATTCAGATCACTAATTCCTAGCTACGAATGAAGTGCAACCCTATTACCAGACAGTATAATACCCTTCAGACATAGAAGAGCAGAAAGAGAGAAATGGATTGTCTGGCCATTTTCCCCCAGCCAACAGGCAGCAATCAGAAAGCAGACTGCTAATTGCAAACTGCTTCAATGCTTTCACTTTCCAGGAGACATGGGGAGAGAAAATTCTTTGTTTCTATTTCATTATAACAGCACAGTTTAAAAAGTAACCAGTTTGTTTAATTAAAATGAACATGTCATATAGATTGGTTTGACTAATTTTGTGTTGAAGACTTTTTTTAATGCTGTTTTGTTTGTTAATTTGCTGCTATCCCTAGAAAAGCAACCCACTGGCAACCATCTCATGAAGTTCAACACATTTGCTCTTCATTACTCTTTAATCCTGAGCTGCAGGGAGTGCCACCAGAAGAAAGTTCATTCACACCTTGCCTTTCCTGCTATATTTGGTAATGAGACTGTCTTTCTCATTTGAAATTCACACCTCCGTTTTGCTGGGTGGCATGGCCACTCCACTTGTCACATTCAGGATTTCTATGTTTGATGCTCACCTCAGATGCAGGGTACTGCAGTGAGTAACACTGGTGGCTGGAAGCAGAGAATGTTCTTTTGGCTTCTTATCAGTGCTAGCAACTTACTGAGTGGGAGAGGGCTGTGCTTTCATGAGACGAAGGATTCTGGGTCAATACCAACATAAGGTATTCCTGTGCTCCATCTCTTTGGCTGTTCAGTCCTACTCCTGGACTGTAGCACACCACTTCCCAAGCTATGCTCAAACAGCTGCGTACGCAAGTGTGTAATTTGCTCAGGTTGGGGAATTAAGACATCCTCCTAAAAGCTGGCTGAGTCATTTTTAATATGATTCAACTCCTCAACCCAGTTTAGGGTTGGCTGCAGTAACGAACGGCATGCACAAGTAAGGGCTTGGGAATAGATTGAGTGGTGTGGGCAAAATCATCATAAAGTCAACAGAGATGCTAAAAACTGCCTCCGAGGTGCAGTCATAAATTGAAGAACAGTATCTGGAGGGGTGTAACAGTGCCCTCCAAAAACCTTATAGCCAAGGTAATGACAAGCCATAAAAAGAAAAGGAAGATGGCCATCATGCTATGGAAGTATTTTGAGCCGGATCAAAATATGAACAACGCCTGAATATAAGAAACATGCGTATTTCCAATTATCTGAAAATTCAAATCCAAGTGAGAAACAACACCCAACTCCAGGTATCACCTACAAGATTCTTAATACCATTTAAAAACATTACAAATATATTGGCTGAGACCAGAATTATCTGTAGTGATCATTCAGAAGCTGATCATGGGCATAACAAATCACTGCATTTGACTCAGTAATTTCCATACCAGGAGGAACCCTTTAAAAGAAATGCATTTATGAAACCAATATTCATCTTTCAGAAGACATCAGATTTTTTTAAAAGACTCAAAATTATGACTATCTTGCCATTTCTTGCTTGACCTGTTCCGCAAGCCCCCAAACCACATTCCATTTCTATAGTGAATCCAGCTATTGAGCTTTCAGTCACTGATCTCACTATATTCTAGCTCAAAGCCACCCAAAAACATGCAGTTATATTTTCCACTAATTCTAACACAGATTCTAAAACATCAATTTTAGAACTGATATTACCAGTCCATGGGATGCACACGGGTTTTCTGCTGCAAAAAGTTTGTAAAATGAGCTGGTATTCTTTTTAGTGTAGCAATCGTTCCGGTTTTTTTCCATCTTTTCATTGATGTGCCGCAAGGAAAACACACACATGGCAGATTTTAGAGAGCCATTATCTTTGTTTACTTTGCTGAAGAGTGCAAGGAGAACTTTGTCATCTGAGAGAGCATCCGTAGTTTGTCTCTGCTGAGCCATGCTCTCAGCCAGCTCTTCTCCTGGGGTAGTGACATAAGCAGAATGACAGTGGTCATAGGCACCATCATCATCTTTGCAACCCAAGTCCATTTCAAAGTAGGAATAATAATGGGCATCATCTTTGCACAGACGTGCAATCAGTGTGCGGTTATTGACGGGCTGTTTCTCTTGCTGATTAAAAATGAAATAAACATAATTTTTATCCTCAAAGACTGCCACAAATTGTTGTGTGCTTGAAGAGTGATAAGCTGACTTAACAGCTGCTGAGTCTGTATACATTTCAAAAATGTCTTTTCCATCCCTTTCGTAGAGCTGTCGAGTGCTGATTATTATCCCATTATCATTTGGCCCATTCCCTTTCCCAACAAACAGCACTCGGTCGTTATTCAAGGATGTGATCAATCCCACAGTTGATACATTCTCATCGTTGCTTGCTACAAAGGACTTTTCTCCGCTACTGTCTACATAGTACTTCTCATTGCTAATGTCTTCTAGATCTCTGATGGCACAGATTCCCTTAAAAAGGCTTCCACACACCACAATTGTTTTATCTGCCTTGTTCAGCAACAGTAATTTGTTGTAATTGTCAGTCAGTACCGCCTCTTTACATTGATTTTCATCAATGGGAGGTGTGCACTTTTTGTTGTCCTTTCTTGGACCGGTTTCTACAGACCTTATTACATCCAGGTTTTCTGTAAGCTGATACAGAGCATTTACCACTCCCAGATAGATTATCCCAGTGTCATTATCCACTGTTAGATGATTTAGCTCTGTAGCACTCTGAAAAAATTTCAGTTCCTCATTTCTGGATAAGGTGATGCAAAAACAGCTCAAGATGCTCAGTGTCCAGATCCATAAAGCCATTTCTATGTAATACCTAAAAAGGGAAAGAAAAGAAGAACATGAAATACATTGAAAAATAAAATTTACACAAAATTCAGCAACATGAAGGGTTTTTTCTTCCATTATTTCAGACACAAATACACTTATTCTTATGCATGTGTAGACATCATGAAGATTATGGAAAGCCTCAAATCCTGCTAACTGCCTAGCAATTTAATATGTTGGGGAAGGATTAAACAAGGTCCTATGTCTGATTGGTTATCATATAACCAATTAGATAATCAATCCTGTGCTAAAGCACAATGAGAACAACAGGCAATTTGAAACAACGTAGAGTGCCAAGAAGTGGTAGTGCTTCTCCAGACAGTTTCATACTGTGTGAATTATTTATTGTTGAGATTTTAAAAATAAGCTGGAGGATCCCAATGTTTCGGGTAGCTCCTCCTTAATAGAGGGGGAAAATTTACATTGAAGTATTTGAAACATTTGGTGTTGCAGGTCTTTCCTCAGAAAGAGAAAAAACCTTCCACTGACTACGCGTAAGTCTGGATCTAGCTACTGATGCTCTTCGAGAAGGCGTTACACTAATCCTTCATCAATGTAAAGCTGGAAGGTGGTAGGGTCCTTAATATGCAACATTGCTTTTGACTGCTGGTACGCATTACAGTCCAATACTTCAATTTACTTGAGCACTGCAACTTAATAGTTTCAAATCTGTCTTAAGAACATCACTTAGAGTTTTATGGACTTAATTTTCTGTTACTGGGTTTTTTTTCCAGAATTTTTACTTCCCAAGCAGATCCTCTGGCTGTTTGGAATTAGACAAAAACCTTCTGGAACTTATAAGAAGGGCTCTAATTTTAACCTGAGGAGTTAAATGAGGAGCCAAGTCCCAACTGGCTTCCTAAGCACAAAACATTTTGTCAACGTTTTCTGCAAGTGTTTAGTTCTGAGAGCAGAAAGCAGAAGGTAGCATGCTTGGACACACCAATGTTAGGGGGAAAAGATAAATACTGTTTGGAGGAAGTACTGAAAAACAAATATGATCTACAGTATTTTCATTTTCAAAGTTAGCCATGTGACTCCATAGTCTGATGAGGAGAAAACCTGTAAACTTACAGGGAATCTCAAGTTAAATCTGAAAATATCTGGACCTGTGAATAGAAAGAAAAAATAAAAACCCAGAAAAGACAAGAGAAACATTTAACAAAGTAATCTAACAGGCGAAAGCCTTGTCGGAGGAGGAAAATAGCATAGAATGCCAAAACGAGGAACCGAAAAAATAAAAGAAAAATAATAAAAATAGTAATAGAGGAACCACGCTCCTGTCTCAGATATAACTTGTGTTTTGGCAGCAGCAATAGACTCTGGTGGGATGTGAAAGAGAATTGCCTGAATCATCATTTATACTGAGTAACTAAGGTTAAATGTCAACAACTGGGCTGCAAAAGTTTGAGCAGGGAGGAAAGGACTCTTGTGTGAGCACAAGCCATCTGCCAGCTCCCCAAACCACCCCGGCATCGCCAGCAATGCAGAGAGACAACTCCTGCCCTCCAGCATTGACTGCATTTTGCTCCTCTATGGACAAAATGCATGTGCAATGGTGACAACAGCTTTTCTAAAAGCAGAGTGATTCTAACTTCTGAAAAACCAAAAACCTACTAAATGTAACTCAGGGTAATAATGAAGGCAAAATAAAAGGCTAACTGCAATCTTGTTTTGCTAAAGCTCTTATCATGTACCAAACTGAGTAGCTAACTGTAAAATGAGGTCAAAGAAGAGACAGTACATTACCAACAGCACAAGCCTGACTTCTAATGATAGGTTGACCTCATATGACAGTGACCAAGAAAAGGCTAAGAATTATAACCCATTCTTCAGACACACAGACTTCAGCTCATGCCTTGCAACGTAATGAAATGTTGGACCTCTCTACAACAACCTTAGACCCGCTCTAAGGAACCCAGAAGAATTCTGATATTATTTGTCAGAAACTCCTCTTTTCTTCCTGCTCCCAAGGACCTCAATTTTCCAAACAAGCTTTGATCCCAGCTTACATTTCTGTGGCTAAATGGTATGTCATAATGCATGTCATCTAGTTTCAAATATTTTCCATTACAGTTATTTGCAATGAAATAAAAACCAGGTTGACATACTACTACAATGTTGTTTCATAAAAGTTTTATCATTCTACTATCTATTGCATAAGGATCAAATGCTGAAGAATTCAGATTCATTGTTCCTGTTTTTCCCACAAGGTAATTATTGTTAGATTATTATAATCTCTGCTCTCAGTCAAAAAAAGCCAATATGCCTCAAATGAAGGGAAAGTAATTTATTGTACCTTAATTTCTGTACTCAGTTCACCTCCATGTCCATTTATTTCAGTGGATTGATAAAATATTTTGTCCATTTGTGGCACCCAGCTTAATAACACAGGGGCTCCACTTGCAATACACCCGCCTTCGTCCCATGGGCAGAACGAAGAGTCTTGCTGATTCATGCCAGAGCCAGGATTTAAGGAAAAGTACATTTTGCATCTCTAAACCAGACTCTAACAGGAGTAATTCATCTGACTGTACAGAAGTCGGTAATGCTTCCTCCCTACTATTTGCTGCTTGTTTACTTATCAAATTTTTGACTTTGATAAGTAAACAAGGCAGCAAATAGTATTATTCAGAACTACATGCATTCTCCATTAATTCTGCCTTTTTTTTTTTGGCATTTACTCCCTGCCACCCCGGTCTCATGCCAAACACTGCCAGATTATCTCAGCCCTCCATGCAAGGTAACAGTTCTTCATTCTCTGTACCTGTTGGTTTCATTTCCCTCCCCACCCTTCAAAGCAATCAGTAAATAAAAATTAAATATGCTATGAAAAGATCCAGAACGAAATTCCCATGCACTTCTCAAATACCAGGCTTAAGGAAAGAAAAAAGCAAACAAAATGACATGAGATGTGCTTCAACTACAGCTCGTTCTCACCTGATCTTAACTTAATTGGGAAGTAGCAGCTGGAGGAATCCTGCTATGACCAGCTGATGTGGTAGGACCTACAGGGCTGCTATTAACACAGATGCCCTACTGAGTTAGGTGCTATGGAAATGCATCAAGGAACAGTTTGCTGCTCTGAAAAACTTCTGTTTTAAATGAACAAGCCATGGAAACACAAGAGAAAATGAGTAAGAAGCCCGGGCTGGAGCATGGAATCGAGATGTTCAGCACGGCAAATGTATTTCCAATGGCTTAATCACATACTTTAATTACGCATGGGCCTGTGCGGCCTACTCAAAGTTATGCCCTGGTCCTGGGAGCTGACATACACCCTCTGACCTCAGTTTGCACTTAGTTTTAAACCCTTGGCAGACTCAGGATAAAAGAAGCCCAACAGAGCAGTTGACCACATCATTTTTTTCTCTCTCTCAAAGTCTTGTCTCCATCCTGCCTCTTGCTCCCCCCCGCCTATGACGTCATTAGAATCATCTTTATTGCTCTCCCATCAAGATTACCCGAATTGCAAAGTTATTTCCTTTTTGGATTCCTCCCTTTTTCATCAGTGCCTTCCCTATCCCTTCCCTCATCTCAAAACATACTCCTCTTCTGATTCATATACCTTACAGACAACTGAATATGATTTCGATGAGTATCCTAGAAGGATGGCAGTAATAATAAACACACTCCCAAAGCAGAAAAAAATTATTATAAAAAGGTGTGTGTTAATTAAAAAGAAAGTGTGGATAACATACAGCCCTCCCCAGTCTCTCAGAGACTCGACAGGTGACAAGGAAAGCGGGATGGCAGCAAGCGAGCACTTTAAAAGAAACCCACCGAAAAAAAGTGTCTTGCCACTTACAAGAAATACAAAACTTTAGAAGTTATGTGCGGGAAACACAGAGCACCCAGGAGAACACTTCATACAGGGGAACTGCCATAAAGTGACACCGTGTTGGAATGACAGTGTTACCAGAGCTCTGCCCCACTGCTAGATCAATTTTAATTTAAGTACCCATAACTTTATGTCTTTCTACTCAAGCAAGACCAATAACTTTAAGAAAGTCAATTCGTCAAAATGCATGCAGAAAAGAGCATCTATAATCTACAAGCACAAAGTGAGTTTCAAATTGACTTCACACTATTATAAATACCCTTAAGAATTAGCACTAGCAACATGTTGACATGGATGTGGCAGGTGTTTTCCTCCTTCACTGCACAATCCTCTGCTGTACCTGTATACAGGAACCTTCAACTTCTCCACCATCCCCAGTCACTTTTCTTTAGCCTTCAATATAACTTTAGCTTTATGTTACTTAACTTCTTACTCATTTCAGCTGAAGTGAAAGAATACCAAATTTTGCCTGAAATCAGAACAACTGAGAACTAAAACAAGTTGTATTCCCAAAAATGATGGACAAGAAAGTCTTCAGCGAAGGAATAATCTCACCAGTTTAGCTTCTGTGGTGTTTCTGCAGAGTTGTTCTTCACTAACCAGATATATATACTGAATTAAACTCTTGTTACCTCACCTCATCCAGACAAAGTTTTGTTACTTGAAATTCTGGGTCTAGAGACAAATGCTTCTGCCAAGAGAGGCAGATACTGATACGCTTTAACAGTATGCGATGCAGAGAACTGTGGTTCTCCCTGCAAACTTTCCCTAATCAGGGACACCCCAAAAGATCCAAAAGACCCTAAAACTGGAAAAAAATTGGTAAAAAGACCCAAACATTGCAACATAAAAAAGGTAAAAATCCAAAGAATGCACCCAAATGGTGTAGATATTTGGGGAAAGAGGAATGAAAAGAAATTTCTCTTCTTGCTCATTTTGAGTAACTTTGATTTTAGCTTCCGATAGGTTTTCCACAAGTCAAAAAGAACTCAGCTTTCATTTTTAAGCTCAAAGGAGTTCAGAACAGAAACTGGAGAATGCATGTGAGGCAAGGGATGAGCAGATTTTCAGTTTGGATTTCAAAGCTTCTACTTCTGTGAGAACTGTAGGTAAACATGAGCACTCTCCTCCCCAG